GGGCCGGGGGAAGAGGCACCCCGAGCAGCATGTGTTCGCCGCAGCGTTCCCTCCGGGCTCCCCAGGAGTGCATTCCTCAGAGTCCTAAAAATAAGTCGGAGAATAAACTTTATACCCCCAAGATCAAGTCTCCCAGGCCCTGGTCAGTCTCAAAAGGGCAAAAGTGAAGTAGGGGGAGTGCGTCAGGGAGTCGGTGTCCAGGAGCCCTGAGGGGGCTGGCAGGAGCGTGGGGAAGGGCCCGCCAGCTGCCGCCGGACGGACCGACGGAGGTGTCGGGAGGACGAGGGACTCGGCGGCAGAGCCGTCCGTGGCGCCCACCGGCTGGGGCAGGGAGCCTTTGCCATGGGGCCCTGGTGAGGAGAGCTCGCGGAAGGGCAGCCATGCCGCGCTGAAACACCCGGCAAGGACGTGGCGTGTTCACGCACCTTGGGCAGACCGGGGTTATGGAAATTCAGACCATGTTGCGGTATTAAATCAGGCAGATGTAATAGAGTCTAGCAGGGATTTAAAATGTCAGAACACCAGCAAGCAAGAAATTCCCCTAACTGTACTATTAAAGAAGACTGATTTTATAGGACTCTATATTCAGGGCCATAAAAATGCTAATAAATTCCAGCCAATTAAAATGCTGATGCCACACATGCCCAATTAGTTGGCTACCCATGAATTAGCGACATCTGCAAAGAATATGTTGGCCCTTGAAAGCTGAGCACAAGCCCTCTCCCTGCTGTGTGGTCAGTGAGAAGGACGCGTTCAGAGAGAGGAGGGCTTTGGTTTCCAGGAGGAAAGTTTGCAAAATGCTGAATGCCAGCCCAGGCTCCCAGTGATGCCAACTCTGTCCTCGGGGGCAGGAGCAAGCACAAAGCAGTGCCACGGCGGCTGTGGCACCCATGGGCAGCCTTGTCCAGCACCATGCAGCCTTTCCTCGCGTGAGCAGTCCTCTTTATTTCTGTGCATAGCGTATCCAAGCCCATGAATAAACCCCCAGAACTAAGGGCTGTGCCCTCTGGTCCAGCACATCACCAGTTTTATTTCCCTACACAAAGCAAATAGGGTCTGGTGAGGGGAGATGCAGTGGGACTACCGTGGCTGGAATTTTAAGGCTTGACACTGGTGAGGATGGATGAGAGAACACCCTCGGAGGGGCCAGGCTGACCCAGGTCTGCTGCCTTCCTATACAGAGCAGGACTACAGGTCTGGCAGAGATGCAGGAGGAGGACAAAGCTGCGGAGAGGAAGGCAGGAGCATGCCTGTGTTGGCTCTGGGGTGTCAGGCTGGACGTATCCAGCTCACTGCCTGGCCGGAGAAGCAGCGTCAGATATGTGGCCCTCAGTGACCCATCCAAAGGACCAGTTCAAAGGCAACACCAGGATTCGGTGTGATGTTAAATCTGGGTCTGGGTAAAAACACTGCAGCCACCAGCACAAACACTAATCTGGGACGTACCCAGCCTGCTGTAGGTAGAAGGGGTGGCTCTAACTACAAGTTTGGGACAGCCTCTCCCTCAGCCTCCAACAAAAGCACAGAGCTGTCCAGAAACACCTTCTTGTGCTCTGATTTGACAGATGGGATCTTATGATCACACTGGAGCCAGATCCAGCAGACCCATGATTTCCTGGCTGCAGGGTGATCAGGAGACATGGAATTTAAGCACAGCAGGGCTATAAGGTTACAAAGGCAATGTGCCATCAGCTGGATGTTTCCCTCACAGCAGTCATCACAGCACAGAGAAGCAGCCCTTGAGACATGGAGAGCTGCTGCTTTTCCTGACAAGGACTTCAGGGGTGATGCTGTGAAATGCTGCCACTTGCCCTGCTGACATTTTGGCAATTAAACCTGTCTTGAAAATAATGTCTTTTTCTTTCCAAAGTTGAGGAGCATCTTGATTGCTTCATTGGAAATGGGCCTCTGCTCTCCAAGAAATGCAGGCTCGTACTTCCTTACAGCCATGACCTGGAGATGGGATCAACTACCTAGTGACTGTCACCAGAGTCCCCTGTGCCCCTGTGCGCTCAGCTTGCCCAAAGGGACAGAAAGGTCCTTGGGTCACAGAGGAAGAGAGGATGGAAAGAGTGGAGCAGCGGGTTGCATCCAAACCTCCTTTAAAGTAGGGAAGACCTGTTAACTGCTGACACTCCCTCCTGGATTGGGGTAATTAAAGACATCCCTGTGTTGCAGGCAGAGGTGGGTGTGATGATGCGTGCCCAGAGCAGCCTGACTTGTCCTGCAGCTTCATGCGCTGCTCAGGGCAGGCAACAGCTCTTCTGCCAGGAAGGAAACCAGGTCGATTTGGGAGCTGGATAAAACATCACCAAACCTGCACAGTCCCACCTCATCCAGGATGTAGAAAAACCTCAGATCCATCCTGACACAATTCTCTGTACCCAAACCCACCAGCCTACATCATTGCCCTGAGACAGAGGTGCACAAGAATCCAAACTATGTGGGCACGGGAGCAATGTGAGGTACCTCTGAGCAGGAAAGGGAGACCCAAAAGACCCTGTGTATGGGTACAGCCCAGGCACACTGTCCCCCGCTGTCCGAGTCCAGCTGTATTCAGACACAAAGGCCTTGTGACCAAAGAGCTGAACGTCCAAGACCACCCCATCTGGGCTTTCATCCCCCATTAGAATCACTCTCCAGATGCTGAACCCCTCGCCACTGCAGCCCAGGGAAGCAAAGCTTGGTGTGTGGGAGCAGGCAGGCTCAGCCAGTCAGCTTGGAAGGCCACGATCCATCCCAGCTTGGGTTTGGCCAAATCATTTCCCTGCTCCTGCTGCTGCCCACCCATGTGTGGGACAAGGGAAGGGACAGCAGAAGGGGGAATGGATTATGCTAGTTAAAACTGCGAAATGATGCTGAAAGAGTGGAATCACACAATGTTGCCTTGCTGGAGGGTACAGCACCCCAAGCTGGTGTCACTGTAGAGTCAGTCCCCTCCCACCACCATCCTTGCTCCGGCTGCAGCCAAAGCACAACTACAGAGTGGGCAGAAACCGATTCACCACTGCGATGGAAAGCATCTTCTCCTTTGCACACCAGGAGCTCTGAAGCGATGAACTCCTGCGGTACCCTCAGCGCTGGGCTCCACGCTGAGCTGGAGCAGCTGTGTCTGGAGGCACACGAGCACCTCGCAGGCTGCCACCACCCTGGCACAGAGCTCTGCATGAGGAGCTGAGGCCTCAGGAGACCCTCCCGGGAGCCAGACCATGGTGCTGCACCAGGCCTTGCACCACGCTCTGCTGGGAGCATGGAGCTCTGGCACCACAACAAGCCTCAGGGCAATCCATAGGGCTGACTGATCCCTGACCACAGCCTGGCTGCAGCTCCAGCTTGCATTCACTCATTCCCATGTCTTGCCGTCAGTGGGATGACACATTCCTCCTCCATATCGTCAGCAGGTGGGAAGGAGTTTGCACTGCCCTCAACCCCTAGAGCCTGTCAGAAAGGCTCAAGCAGGGCTCTGGGAACATCATGAAAAATAACAATGTTGGGCCCTTTTCTCAGCATTTATTTCCTGTCAGAGAGGGAGGCAATGTCAGTCTTGCTACATGGAGGATCAGCTATGACCTGCACCCCCTGGTTCTCTTGCCAGCTAATTTAGGGCTGAATGTAGGTTAGCTAAAACATGAAAAAACTTCCCAAACACCACTTTGGGGATAATAGTTCCTGTTTATGCACTGGCCCCCAGGCAGAGGGGCCTGGAGTGGTCCTTGGTTGCACACAGGACATGAGTCTCATGACACCGAGGGACACTGCCAGAACAGCAGGCAGCAGCTAACATTTTGCTTCTCAGGCTGTTTCCTACAAGCCTTTTGCAGCTATGGAGGGTAATAATGAGGCAGCATGCACATGAAACAAGCCCAGTGAAGCTGCAGTGCTGGTCTCAGGAGAGGCACATGGGAGCTGCTATTTCTTTTCAACTGCACATTCATCTTGGGGGTTTACAAAGCTTGTTCCAGGTCAGTGCAAGCTCCTGTGTTTTAGCACTCAGTGAACAAACACTGTTAATATGATATTTGTGGTCCAAGCTTGAGTACATGAGCAGGCAAGGGAGCTGCTTGCTAAGACAAATGCAGGCAGTACTGCCCTGTGATGAGGCTGAACCAAACTGCTCCCACCTGCCCATCATACTGTAAAAGGTCTTGTCTGAAAGGGGCTACGGGCAGGAGTCACCTGCTTCTTTTGACGCTGCTCGAGAGCATCTGTGAGCACTGCACAGTGTGCCAAACCCTTCTCTCCTTGGAGCCTCTCAGGTGGGGAAGGGGCCCACATCTCTGCCCAGATCCTGTCTGCTTGCTTCTACATGCCAAGATCAGAGCTGCAGGGAGGAGAAACAGGTTGTATGTCAGTGTTGATGCCCTGGGTTGCTTTGATAATTCATCCAATCCTGGATGGCACCTGCCCTACAGCTCTGCCTTCAGCCGCTCCCCTGGCGAAGGTGCAGGCAACCAGTACTAACCCCCTCTGCTCCAAGCACTGCCTGTTGCAAGTGTTGAGTGTTTTGCTGACACAGCTCCACATTCCTTCCAGCTCTAGCTGAAAACACAGAGCTCACCAGTCTGCACCACGGTGAATGGTCCTCTCCCATTCAAAAAATAAGAGGTACCCCTCGGGGCTCCCCACAGTGGAGTGCTGGAACTGGGGAGTCTTTCCTAATCACCATCACCTCCACCTCTGCTCTACCTGAACAGAGAAACTGTTGAGTCCCTACAGTACAGAGTCTGCTGAGGAGACAGGTGTGGTGGGGTTACTGTAAGCTCTCAGCAAACTGACTTTTAAGAGGGAGAAGACAGGAGGGCTGGAGGTGCTGAGCTGGCTTTTCAGAGCAAGAAGCCTGAGAGCACCAGGCTGGGAGCTGGATGGCAGAAGCATGGGTGAAGAGGGACCCTGGCTCAGCCAGCAGCACCCTCTGCAGTCAGCTGTGCACGGCTATAAGACCAGCTCTCTCAGAGGAAAATCTTCCTGGCGGTGTTGGGGGCAAATGATTTTGATTGGCATCTGCCTGCTGAGTTGCAGCAAGTCACAGCTTACAGTCTCCCAGGGAAATGTCAGCTGCTTCCTTGCTCTGCCGAGCGGGAACACGTGTGGGCTTGGCCCACCCAGGGCTGGATCAGCATGAGCACCCAGCCTCTGCAAAGCCAGGTCCAGGGAGCAGCTAACACCCACAGCCCACTGTGTTAAGGGCTTTGGCTCCAGCAGCTCCCCTGGTTTCAAGGCCGTGGGGCTGAGGAGGTGGGCAAGGCGAGGGCAGACGGGGCCAGGCATCACCCTGTGCCTTCTCGTCACCCCGGGGATGGCTGCTGTGTGCAAAGGCTGACTCCTGCCACGGGGATGCTGGGATCAAGGACAGCAACGGAGCTGGTGGAGTGGAGAAGTGACAACTGGTGTCTGGCTTCTCCCAGCACCGGGAGGACGGGGAGGTGCTCAGAGGGGCTGAGCCCGGCCCCTGTAAGCTCTGCACAGAGGAGCGCTGTTAGAGCCCCACAGCCCCTCTGCTTCCACGGCAAGAGGGGAGGGACATCCCCCACTCCCCGCAGGGTGCTGCTGCATGCCAGGCACCATGCAGGGTGGGTGCCTTTTGGGAGATGGATGGATGCAGCTGTTACTGTAGCAACGGGGATGAACTGCTCCTGGGCTGGCGGCACAGCCAAGCGGAGCTGAAACCACCCTGGTGTCGATGCTGAAGGGGAGATTGATGGAGGGTGGACAAAGCCAAGGGCTCTGAAATCAGAAAATGGGGAGGCAACAAATGAGCAATCATTCACTGCTTCTTGTAACACAAGAACTGGGGGCACACGGTGAATTTGCCTGGATTGTAGATTTACAACAAACTAAATGGACTGGTTTTTCACATTGCACTATTAAACACTGAGGCTCACTGTCCTGGGATGCTGCAGGGGCCAGACACGTACAGGAAAGTCCAAAGGCCGCGGAGGGCTGTGTGCTGCAGCCCAGACTGCTGAGAGCTGGAATAGATGGGCTGCAGAAGCCCAGGGTGCACTTTTGTCTGGGTAGCACATTTCACAGCTGAGAGAGATCCAGGCAGTATTCAGACAATAGCTGAAGTGTTGCGTTGTAACACACGAATGTCTGGACCAAATCCAGAAGCTCTCAGCTCCTTTTAAACCAGTCCTTTTCTCACAGCATCATCCCACAAGGAAAACCCCAGGGAGTGGCCAGCACAGGTCACCCCTGGGTAACAACCTCCAGGCTCCTGTCTAAAAATGAACTGCATTATTTGCTTGCTGGCATTTTCTTGCTTTTCACCTCAGCATATCTTGAGATTCAGTGCTGCTCAAGCCAGCTGATGTAGGTAGACACCAGTCTGTCACTGCTGCCATCGTGACCAAAGGCATTTACTCTCTGTCCTGTCCAGCAACTGTCATGGTGAATGACAGATCCACATTTTCCTGGACAAACGCAGCAGGCAAAAGCTGCAGATTCAGGGATGCTAGGCAGTTAACTCTGCTGGTAATTTCTTTTTCCAGGTAGATGTCAGCACTAAGGTCTGGTGCAGGATCCAGATGGCAGTATGGTGGAGGCAGGCTGTCCATGAGTGAGGTCAAGAAGGAAGGATCTGTGCATGGAGAGGACAGTATGCAGGGCATACACACAAGTGTAAGAAGGAAATACAACAAGAAGATGCCTTAAATACTCAGGAAAAACAAGACTTTATAGATCTGTGGTTTGAAGCCAATTCAGGTGCTAAACCCTGATTCAGTGTCTCTAAAGCCTTTCAGCACCTGGATCATGTCTATGAAGCACCCTCTGGAGATAGTTTGAGAAGATGCTAGCTGCAAGCCCTTGTAAGGCAAAACTATTGCAGGTGGCCTATTATTGCCAAGATGTCCCACAGCCCCTGAAGTCAGGCTTGCCAGGCACCTTCCAATCTGAGATTTTTAGTCATCTTCATGGGTAATGTTGCCAGGTGTCCGAGTCTGGCTGAATAATTAGAAATGCTCTAGGGAAGAAGAAATAAAAAGATTTCACTGTTTTCAAGAACCAGAGGTTAGGGAAGTTTGTTGTTTCTTTAAAAAAAACAGTCTTACAGTAAATTGAGAAGCAGTGTTTCATCATCAAGGCCTGATGCCTCCAGATTTTTGAGCACTGGAGTGTAACTTGCCAGGTGTGCTGTCCTGATGTCTGAGGTACGCCTTTCGTTATTAGTCATGAAAATTCTCTTTAGAAATCCCAACTGAGCTTGACAGCTTGAAGGTACTGACCATTTTTTAATACAGTGAAGAAAAAACTGAGTGAGGATGTGACAGCGATCTTCCAACATCCAATTATTCCCTCAAGGCCATGGGGAAACATAAAAAATTATTAGCTTCATTTCAAGCAAAAAATGTTTATGTTATAAATCACACACACACACTACAATGCTGGATGAAAAATCAGGCTACCTCGAGAAACTGTAGCATCTCCTTTACTGCCAGATTTTTAAAACCAAGTTAGATTAACACTTCTCAAGGATAGTCAAAATATACTTAATGCTACAGCACCGCAGGGACCGGAGTGGATGATGAAAATCTCTCCAGCTGTGCACTCCCACAATGAGCCGTGTCCCATCCTACTGGGAGCAACTCAACAGTTACTCTGAGTGTCTCTGGTTTGGGAAAAGGAAAGTTGATCAGTTCTACTTCACTACAACCACCTTCTCCATCTGCTGCTGACTCTTACCCACTTCTTCAGGGCCTCAAGGAATTCTCCTTCAACACCCCATTCCTTGTTCTTTTTTCTCCTAAGCTTCTTAAGTCACCAATCCTTTTTCTTTTTCCCCAACAACGGATTAATTTACCCTCCCTGAACCTCTGATACCATTTCTGGAAATCCAGTTAGCCATGAAATATGTTTTTTGAATCGTCTCTGAAGGCACAAGCCAAGAAAAAACTCTATCCCTGTCACACCACTCTTCTATTGCCTCAAAGCACACCAGTCCTTCAAAGAGGTGTTTTACTCCTGCGGCTGCCACACTGCTCCCAGAATTGTCCCCAGCCATGGCCCTCTAACACAGCAGCCCCATCAATTTAAAAGGTAAATGGGCAGCAACATGAGACAGAGTGAGGGATGGTGCCAGTTTATTGCTGTACCAGGATCAAGCATGAGATTTCTAAATGGACAAACAGAAAATTCGAGTAGGTTGGCAAGGCACAGGCCAGAGTGGTGGGACAGCCTGCAGGAGGAGCTCTCTAGACGTGTCTCTTGATCCCTTCTTCCTCCGGAGCAGCTGCGTGTTCCAAGGGTGTCCTTTCAGTCACAGAAAAACCACCGGCGGAAGGGGTGGATAACTTCCCACTTCTGCGACTGAACACTTCCAGTGATTTTTCAAACCTTTCAGAGGCCTTCTTCCTCCATGCCATCTTTCTCTCCTGCTCTTTCAAAAACTGCTGCTTTAAATGTTTGTAGAAACGTTCAGTCTTCTTCTTGGCCTCTTCAAAGTGTTTTATCTTTACAAAAGAAAATGTAAGACCTTATAGACACTATGCTAACCATGAAATAAAGAATTCCAAAGTGGTGCTTGTCTTTGGGAAGAGAGACATCCTGCCACATTCACATCCTGCACCTTCACAAGGTGGCCTCCAAGCAAAGAAGCTCCAAAATTCATAAGTAACACTCTAAACGTTGGTCTGAAAAAGATTACTCAAATCATCCTGCCTCCTTGACTGCATTTGATACTACTGTAAGAAGCGGGACTGGAGGACAGTAATTGCACTCTTTTGCATTCTTGCATCTCAGACCAAAATCCATCACACTGATAACAAAAAGCCCAACATTATAAAACCAACTGATGACAATTTGGTCATCTGGTTTGAGTGGGATCTCACCAGGAATAAGCTCCATGTCACCCACGCACCACAGGTGTGGCACAGGCTGCCACACTGCAGGCATGCAGTCTCTCCAGCCATAGAGGGTTTGCATCTCCCTGGGTCTCCTGACAAAGTGCTAAGGCTTGGACAATAGGCCCAAGCCAGAGTTGACCTATAGATGAATCCTGTATATTTTATAGCTGATAACCATTCTGCTAGTGGGTATTACACTACGTTATAACAAACCATCTATTCTGATGTAAAAGGTGGAAGTATTGAAGCTGGAGCAGCAGGCCCTGAGCTGAAGCTGCTAACTCAGTCTGTAGCCATTAGTGAAATAAGTATGGAAGATGTAGCTTGAAATCATAAAACACGTCTATCCTGAATATCTCTTTATCTTTCTTTGTGTGGGGGGCAAGATAACAGGGCCACAGAGACAGTTGTCTGGCCTTGTGACCTGATGGGAGACCTTGCGCATAATCCAACGAGATGAGCAGGGAAACTCCCTGAGCTTCTCCCCCGAGCCCTGGCTGAGCTCTGGGGGAATCTAATGTGAGACCGAGAGCAGGTATTTCCACTTAAACAAAGGTGCCAGCTCTCCTGGCTTGCTGATTTTGAGGTATATAAGGCCAGACCCGCTCACAGTGACCCTGGAAGCCTCAGCTACGGGTGGAGGCACCACGTAGGATTTCCCACCCACAGGGAAAGGCTCAACAAACCCTCGTGTAACCGGGACTGCCAGGGACTGCGGGGCTGGGGGCTGGTAATGGGTGCAAGTGGTGGTGGATCTTTCTTAATCACTGTTCTCTCTCTCTGGGAGTAACGATTGGATGCATTACCCTGTATTTTCCTGTTTGAGTGCACTATTCTGTATTTCCTTACTGTATGTTTTCTGTATTATTATATTATTTAGTTATTTCTAGTAAAATACGCCTGCTCTTTTCACTCTGGTGTCTGAGTTTAATTGATATCTCTAATCAGCAAAACACCTGACTGTGAACAGAAACCTGTCCATGCCTGCGGCACAAGCCCAGGGCACACCTGCACCTCAGGACCAAGCCAGGCATCCCAGCACAGCTTGGGCCTTGGTTGTAGGCTGGAGCTAATTCACTCATAGTAGCTACACTGCCCCGAGGTCTTGAAACTCGCACATCACAGATGTCTGCAGGCCCGGAGGACCTCCTCAGCACACAGATACCTAGAGGGTGCTGTCAGTCCACTGAGTTAAGGGATTTGGGAACTGCAAACCAAGGAGAAGGTGCCTCAACTCTGCCTCACAAGTCTGTCACCACCACAGCAGCAGAAGGAAACCTTCAGCTGAGACCTGACACCTGAGACTAATTCATGTCTCAAGTACAGATTTTAGTGAGAGATGCTGGTAAATGAAACCATCAGACATTAATTTCTGTTAGACTTTCTGTTGTAAACAAACCTCACCCAAGAAGTGAAGCCGAGTGATTTTTTTTCCCCCATTCTCACTAATAACTGCTATGGGGCTGCACAGTTTACTGCTTAGGCAGGTGGGCTCACATGCAAAGCCAGACCCTGGGCAGGGCCCTACAGTTCTGCCAGAAACAGTCAAGAGGGTGGACATTGCAGCCCCATGTTATAAAACTTTGATTTAAACTGACAAACTGAAATCATGATGCTTGGGTTTTCTGACCAAAGCCAGAAAGCAAAGTTCGTTGGGATATATGCAGCAAGGTGAGGGGTGAGGATTCAGGTGGTGCTGGCTGGGTATTAAGGACAAAAAACCTGCTGCCCAGGAGCAGAGAGGCGAGCTGAGGGGAACTATTCAGTGTGTAAAGGTCCAGGTATGTCTAATGACACCCTAAATCCCCATTCTGAATTTACAGACTCCACCTGACATCCCGTACATTCCTGCAGGAGAGACTCTCACCTGCTGTTGCTAATGGACCTGTTACTGCTGGACTCAAAGTGAGAACCACTGAAGGGGAGATTGAGCTGATAAATGCTGCAAAACCTTTGACTAGTCCCCACAGTCTCACGTCAGCACTTCATCCATTTCTAATAATTCACCCTCAGTCTCCCTAGATATTGTAGGAACAACATCTAAGTCAGGTTCAGTCCATGGCCAACAATACCTGTAGCTTATCTTTCCAAAACACAGTTGATTGCAGGCAGGATATGGCATCTGTGTCCTGAGGTCAGGATGGAGGCACAACCATTCACATCGAAGGCAGCCCAGGAACTGGTGGCTGCCCCCTCTGACCTGCTCCCCTGGAGAGAGCCCTGGCACCCACATCCTGATCCTGCTGAAGACCTGAGGGCTGAAGCGATGGTTTAAGGACACTGAGGAACTGAGCCCTGAGCATTTGCACAAGACATTCCTCCAGCCTCGTGTCACCTGTGGGTCTCACTGCCAACCTCTTCAGAGGAGGGGGATCTCCCTCTGCTTTTCCAAGACACATCCACCAGCAGCCAAATGCAGAACAAACCCTCCCCTTGTGCCAGAGGGGACCACGAACCCCATCCCGGGGGGCAGTGCTGGTGGGGCCTGGAGGGGTGAGGGGAAGTGGGGGCCATCACCTTCTTCTCCAGGAGCAGCTGTGGATTGCAGCTGGGGCGGTGGGTGGAGCTGGGCAGGGAGCTGTTGAGCAAAGGGCTGTCCTCGTCCAGGTCCACGTCTGCAGAGCTGCTGTGGGTGAGAGGGGGCTTCATGTCACGCAGAGCAGGATGCAGGGCAGGGCTGATCCATACCCTGCGGACCTGTTCCCACAGCCCCAGGACAGCGTGTGGGGTCCCCCAGCCGGTGTGAGGGCCCCCCAAACCCGCACCAAGGCCCGATGAGCTGCCGGCTCTGGGGTGGTGGGAAGAAGGTGAGGCGAGGCCGCGCACTGCCCCGCTCCTCCATGGCCCCGTGGCCACCTGCCGCTGTGCGTGGTGGCGGTTGCCATGGGGGGGCATGGCCACTCCTCCCCCTGCCAGGGTTGCCGGGCAGTGGGGCCCAGTAGGCCAGGACATGGTGGGGGACAGGGCTGAGTGTATTTCTACATGCATTTCTAGACACAACCAGCACACCTCAATGGTGGCGGCTGTGGGAGCCCTCCTGGTCTTGCCCCAGCACCCCGGATCACCTCCAACCTCTACCCCGGTGACGTGGTGGCCACAAACAGCCACCTCCTGCTCTTCACCCACTGCATCAGCACCATCATCAACATCTCCCTGGAGGTGGCGAACACCCTCTGTCCCGACGTCAGGTACCTGCATGTCCCTGTGATGGATGGCCCCACCACCCGCATCTCCAGCTGTTTTGACTCCATGGCAGCTACGATCCACGGGTGGGGACACGTGGGATCTGACGCTGCTGCCCTGTGCTGCTGGGGTGAGCAGGTCCCCACCATCTGCTTGGCCGATCTCCAGAAGAACAACTCCACATCCCTGGCTGGCACCCACGCCTGGATTGAGCCCTGCCATCCCATCTTACAACCTAACAACGGCTTCTGGCAGCAGCTCATCTACTACGAGTACAAACACTTCAGCATCAACAGGCTCCAAAAGATCAGCTCTCCGTTGGGGCTGACACCCAATGTTTATGAAAATGAACTAGGAGTAATGCTGCTGCTCTGAGCACAAACGAGCTGCTGCGACCTCTTGGCAAGAAACCAAGGGAAAGCCAACAGCAGTTCTTCCAGATCCACACCAGAACCTTGAAAATAAGCTCTTCTCGTCTAAGGAGGTTGGAGCATGAAGTCTCTGCTGCTGAAAGTGCAAGGGCTTTGTGATACAATCAGCGAGTAGTGGGGTTTACTATAAATAAAATCAACATGGTTTGAGCTATGCAATTAGTTTTCACACATCATTTGTATCGGCATCCTGACAGTAACTCTGAAACCATCATGTGTTTAAAGAGTGTTGTTTTAGTCCAGCACAAACTGTGCTTATAATACGGGACAGAAACTAGCTGTGAGTCAGGCTATTTGGAACGTTACCAACATTTGTTTTTCCTAACTGGGATGTAACTTTAGGTTTTGAGACAGCAACCCTAAGTCCAGTCATCTACTGCATTCCAGAGAGGACAAGAAACAGCACAGACTCCAGCATACCCAGTTGAGAGAAACCCAAGGATATCCTGATTTCCACTATCTGACCCTTTCTCTTCCCCTACCTGATTGCTCCAACCCTTTTTCAGGGGGTGCCTTGGCCTCCCTTGGGAGATCCATGGTTATTTGGGGGAGCTGCTCACTGCTCGGAAAGAAAGTGGTGGGCTGGGAAGTCAAGATGGGAGTAATAAGAGGAAGCCCGCTGTCAGCCTGAGTCATTGCAGCGAGGTCATCATGTTGTTATAAACTAGAAGCTTGATCTAGGCACACTTTGGCATCTCTCAGCAGAAAAACATGTATTAATTCTGTTTTTTCACAGTATGAAGTTTTCAGCTCCAGCAGCTCCATCCTGAGTGGCAATAACAGACCTGTTTTGTGTGGGAGCAGGGAGCCCCAGGCCGGCATGTGTGTGTGAGGGGTCCTACAGCCCACAAGACAGCGTGAGGGGGTCCTACAGGCCCAGTTGATGGGAGGGGTTGTAGCAAGGTGGGTGTTGGTCTCTTCTCCCAGGTAACAACTGATAGAATGAGAGGAAACAGCTTCAAGTTGCACCAGAGGAGGTTTAGATTGGATATTAGGAAATATTTCTTCACCAAAAGGGTTGTCAAGCACTGGAACAGGCTGCCCCAGGAAATAAGTGGTTGAGTCACCATCCCTGGAGGTATTTAAGAGACGTGGCCTTCATGCTTAGGGACATGGTTTAGTGGTGGACTTGGCAGTGCTACGTTAATGGTTCTACTCAATGATTTTAAGGGTCATTTCCAATCTAAATAATTCTGTGATTCTGTGAGTGTATATTGTATCACCAGCACTTTGGGAGGGCTCCTCCACACCCACCAAGAGCAACCTGGCAAACCAGCTCTCTGCAGGTCTTAGAGCAGGTCAGCTGATGGCTGTGGTGGGTGACAAAGAGCCTGCCCTTCCTTGGACTCTATTGTTTTTCTCCCAAGGCACCTTCAAAAAGCAGAGCAGAGACCTGACTCCTCATGGACATGTAAGAAGTTGCTCCCAGAAAACAGAAAGTTAAGGGACAGAACAAGCTGATTGGGTGCACGGGTGTCACAGAGAGCACCAGAGACATGCCAGACCTCTCGAGGAGCCCTGTGTGCTGTGCCACCACCTGGGCCTTCGTGCTTCCCAGACTGGATCTCGACCGGACAAGGGTGCCGTTGGTGTCCGTAGCTCCATCCCCACCCCTTTCTACGTCAGGTTTGCAGTTGAACACCCGGCTTTCCCCAAAGAGAACAACAGTGCCGTGAGCCCTAGCAGGTCCTGCAGATGTCTGGTTCTTGTGTGTCGGCCATCGAGGGCACCACTGGCACCTGCTATCCAAGGTGGGGGAGACCAGGGCTTTGCGTATCTGGAGGTGGATGGAGGCTCGTTGAAGTGGGATCCCAACTGCCTGGCAAGTCCATGGCAGTGAGGCAGGCCCAAGGCCAAGCTGGGAGGTTGGGTGGGAGGCCAGGCCCAGCTCAGCGGGGGACAGGGCCAAGCACGGGCATGGCTGCAGCATAGCATCAAGGGTGAGCATCTCAGTTTGCACGCAGCTCTCGAGAAGTGGGAGAAGGGGGGGTGTGATGATGCTGCCAGCTCTTTCCTGAACACCTCTTCCTTCACAGCCATCAGAACCTGGGTGAGACACCTGCACCGGGCACCCAAACCCACTGAACCAAGCTCTTGTGCTGACTTAGGCTGTCACTAAGGCTCCATCTGTGTTTCACAACAGCCTGTGAACACTTAAGTTTTTATATAGTGGTCTTATGTTATGCATGCAGTAATTAGCACACTATTATAACTGCCTTAAACTTTTGTATCTTAAACCCCTGCTTTATTATATAAAGTTATGTGATAAAAACAAACTTTAAAAATGTCTTTAGGCTCATGTGATTTCATCTTTTGGAAACACAGCTACCATCAGTCAACAGCCTTCTCAGGGCAGAGCAGCGAGCCTGAGCTGTAGAAAGAGCGCAGTAAAGCCACCAGTAAAGCCAGCCTGCCCCAAATGGTTAAGAGCAAATTCTGGATTTGTTTTTTAGGGTGCTGAAGCAGAGAATGTGAAGCTCTAAGGGAGTCTGAAGGGTCACCCTCTCCATCTCCTGGCCTCCAACCGGGCTTCGGCTGCTTTGAGCATCCTCAGATTATTGCTCGCCACTGCTGGACATGTGCCAGCTGTCCTGCCAGGGAGAATGCATTTTTTCTTAATAACTACCCCAAAAAAGACTTTGCCATAATTCCAGCTCCAGAGCCAGCACGGTCCACAGCCTGGCATAGAGGGAAGGAGATCATTTCCTGGTGTAAGCTTCTCAGTTTACAAGTGTTTGTGCCTGCTGCCTCCCAGCTGCGGATCCTGCATCCCTCTGTGCTAATGCAGCAAAAGCCTCCCGACATCCCTGAGGGCAGCAGTTAATTCCCTGTCCTGAAACACAGAAAATTTCCGCCGTGTGCTCCCAGGCACCCAGCTGGAGCATGGTAAATCCACCCTGGATCTCCTCCGCCAAGGGCAGTGGCTCACAGCTCAGTCTGCAGCACGCTCCATCACCACCTCAGAGGAAGATTTCAGCAGCAGTTTAACAACAGATCAGAAGAAACAACACTATCCCACCAGATATGCATTTATTTCTCCCACCTCAGACCTTCCCGCTTCACCTGGATCTCCTTGGCAGCCATCACCTCCAGCATGGTGGGACCAAGTACACGGAGGTGCCGCCCATCCTTGCTGCCACTGCTCACTGGTTTCAGAGCTGTCACACCTCCTTGCAGCTCCTGTCCCCTCTGTGCATCTCAGGATAGGGAGAGCAGAAACCCGGCAGCAGCGCCCATGTGGGAGCATCAGACAGCGTGTGCTGGGTGCCTGCTGCATGGTTAATACTGGACAGTGGCATCCCAGGGGTTAACAGTCCCAGCATGGGGGTGCCCCACCCTGCCTGCAGTTGGGGGTTATTTAAAAAGAGGTAAAAATCCAGAGAATGCTTGACAGGGGCTGTGGAGAGGTGCATGGGAAAGGAAATACCCACATTTGGGGGCACAAGAGCTGCAGGGGCTTCAGAGGTGGATTCATGCCAGATACTGCACCTCAGTACCCTCACCACACTGAAACCAGGCCCGGGGAGCCAGGGCTGGCGAGGGGAACCAGACCCCAGCAGCGGCTGGGAAGCTGCCGCCTGCCAGGAGGGCAAGGCATGGGGACACACATGCCCATGCAAGGGTTGTCCCCATCCTTCACCGCTCCTGCTGGGGCTCATCCTGCCCTGTGCTGCAGGGTCTGCTCTCCAGAAAGGTGCTGCCTCAGAGCAGAGGTGTCCTGCGCTGCCAAGCAGCCGGGACTGGGATGCCTTTCCCTTGTCCAGCTTAGCCGGACCTGACACATGGGCAGCTGCTGCTGTGCCCATGGGAAACCCAATCCTTCCCGCGGCAGAGCAGAGAATGGCCAGAGCAGAGGGATGCCACCAGCCTGAGATCATGGCCTGAAATACCCAGAGAGGGCCACCGCTCCAGGGCAGCCCGCCCGCCGCTGCCAGGCCCTTCACGGGCAGCAGCAAAGCCCCCAGACCCAGCACAAATGCTGCCCGCGGGCCCCTGTGCCCAGCCTGGCTGCAGCCACCAGCCCCCCCCCAGGGACAGTGGGCAGCAGCACGGCACGGGACCAGTCCCACAGTGCACTAAAACTCGGGTGGACCAGGCAAAGCCACAGTCACAGGCAGGATCCGGGTAGAGCCTGATGCCAGCACATGAGTCAGGGGGCTGGGATGGGCGGGTGTTCCCTGGGGAAGGGCTCTTGGATCCAGCGATGTGTCAGGCGGGCTGGATCGCAGGTCCCACTCCTCCCGTCCCCTGGCAGGGGACAGCGCGGGTGGGAAGTCCCGGGAACACCCATGAGGAGACTTTTCCCCCAGCCCCATCCCTGGGGCCACAGCAGGACTCGCCTTTTGAAACGAAGTGGAAAATCAAAACGACTTTCAACACTCCCATTATGGAAAAGCCTCTGAAATATGAGCCCAGAAAGCAAACAGCCTTGTGCCCTGCCGCGCTCTCGGCCAGAGCAGGGGCTGTTTACTGATAACTCGGGTCCTTTGAGTCCTTTGTGGGATGGGCAGCGTGCCAGCCGCAGCCCTGGGGCACCCCAGTGAAGGTGGCAGTGGCAGCGGGCACCCCGGCACACTGCAACAGCCCTGCTCTCACCGCCTGCAGGGGAAGGAGCCGTCCCTGGGACGCTTCTGGCAATGGCCTCAAAACTCGCCACCCCTACGAGTGGAAGAAAATGGCTGTTTGGGAAAGAGGGCAGGAGCAAGTGGGGAGTTTCCAGGGGGAGCGGGTTGTGCTTGCATGGTGATGTGAGTCACAGGGCTGGAGAAGGACCAGACGGGTGACACCAGGGGACAGGATGCTCTCCAGCGTCACGCTGCCCCGGGGCAGGGCGAAGCCACACCGAGGGCAGAGGATGCCAGCTCCCAGCAGGACTGGCCCTTCCCTGGACACGTGTGGCTGGTGACTCCTCTCCCGTCACCGCGTCTCTTCCGTGTCCTGCACGAGTATCCCATTGCCAGCCCTGGGGCTGCTAAACCACAGCTGTCCCTCCACTGGGACATGGAGATGCTGGCCACGGTGGGCATGGTGGGCCCAGCTTCCACCGGGCAGCTGGGGCTTCCCAAGGCACTGCTGTGCCTCAGTTTCCCATCCCTGTGCCACCTGGTTCCTCCCTGCCTGCCACAATGCCATTGTGCGCTTCGAGTGGGAGATCGCCCTGGGAGCCAAGGGTGGAGTACGACAAAAATAGAGCTTTATTTTGGGACAAGTGCAATCAGAGCTGGGTCCTTCAGCCCCGGCACAGAGATGGTGAGCATGGCAGCAGCCCCCGCAGACGCCGCACGCAATGGTGCTGGTGCCCGCACGTGTGTGCCGGTGTTGGTGCCCGGACATACGCGCGCTGGGACATCCCTTTGCCAAGGTGAGCGTGTGTCACAGGCCAGCACCATCCCGGAGTGATGGCAGGGGGGTCTGAGCTGTCCCTGTCCCCTTTGCTGGGCTCTTGACATCTCTGCGACGGAGCTCCAGGGATGAGCAGGCAGCCCTGCCTGCACCTGCCTGCTCCAGCTGTGGCAAGCTGGAAGGAATGGGGCCAGAGCTGGAGCCGTGGTGACTGGGAGGGCACGATGGGGACAACACCACCAGCAGCACCACCAGGGATCCCTGTGGGACCGGCATGACACGGTGAGGTTGGGGACAGGAGAGGGGACACTCACCTGCCCCCTCCCTGGACGTCTTGTTCAGCCCCGAGAACTGTGTGTACACAGCCCCGGGTTTACTCCAGCCAGCAGAGCTCAGTAGTGACGCACACGCACATACACACACGCACACGTGCACTCACACACACGTACACACAGACACACCCCAGGCACACAGAGCTGCGCACGTGTGGAGGTGCGTTTGCACGTGCAGAGTTTGCGTACACATGCAGGCAGGGGCTGCGTGCGCCAACACACCCGGGCATGCCTGCATGTAACGCTCTGCCCACGTGCATGGGATCCTGCACACACAGAGCCTGTGTGCACCAGCACCCCTGTGCACACCTGTAAAGCTCCGCACACACACAGCAACACGCTTGCATGTGCAGAACCTGCGCACACCAGCACACGTGTGCCCACACACATGCTGAGCTGTGCATGCAGGTTCCCACATACAGTCTGTACCAACACACACATGCCCACAGGCGTGAGACCTGTTTGCACACGTGGAGCCTTCACACACCAACACACGTGCCCTCGTGCATGCATAGCCACGCGCAGAGAGCCACTCAACACTTGCAGAGCCTGTGCACACCCAGACGTGCCCACATGCCCACGGAACTGTGCACACAGACCCGGTTGCCCACGAAGAGGTGTGGAGCCATGCACACCGAGACACACGTGTGCACACACAACTGCACACAAGCCATGCACACACACGCGTGCAGAGCTGGGCGCACAACACATGTGCACAACCAGCTTGCACACGCCAGCACATCCACGCTCAGGGTGCCGTGCACATGTGTGCACACGGAGCTGTGCAAACCAGCACATGGACACACACAACTGTGCACACCAGAAAATACACGTGTGCACAGAGCCGGGCACACCCACACACCTCTGTGCACAGTATCATGCACCTCAGCGCCCCCGTGTGCACCCAGCGCCATGCACACCGGCCCCCTCATGCCCCCGCAGAGCCCACACCCCGCGGCCTGTCCCACTTCCCATCCGCTCCCGCCCCGGTGGGGGGGTCCCTATTCCCGGCGGGGGCGTCCCCGGCCCGGCCATGCCGCCCAGCGCGCGGCAATGAGGTCCGGCTGGTGGTACATGAACATCCCGGCCAGCATCAGCCCGATGCCCAGGTAGCTGAGCCCGCTCAAGTGGCTGCCAAAGAGGAGGCGGGAGAGCAGCAGGTTGCCCACCACAGTGACGTTGCCCAGGACGTGGACGGTGAGGGCGGAGGTGAGGGAGAGGACGCAGAAGGTGGCCAGGTTGTAGAGGACAGAGCTCAGGCAGCTGAGCAGGACGCAGGCCCAGAGGGTGCCGTCGTAGCGCAGGACGCCCTCCCAGGAGGGACCCACCTCCAACGCCACGGCCGCCCCGAAGAGCAGGCAGAAACTGGGCAGGGAGGTCAGGCAGAGCAGGGAGAGGGCGTCCAGCCGGTCCTCCTGCAGCAGCAGACCTGGGGGGTGGATGGGGACAGTCAGCAGGACCCCCGCACTGTCCCAGCAGGGACACACAGCACCCATGGGGACACCCCCCGACACAAGTGCCTGCTTGGTGCCCAACCTGTTAAGAAACCCCATCACTGGGAAGGGAAAATGGGGGAGGGAAAGCCCCTTCCACGGGAATGAGGGTGCCCTGGTTTGGGGGTGTCCCAGTTTGGTGATCCAGAGCACCACAGGTGGTTTCCCCACCTCATTTTGGAGCAAATTTGGCTTCCACCCCCCACCCCTCTTTTTCAGCTGATATTTCAGCTGCCACGCACAGGGGGGGCACGCTACCAGGCCAGCTACCACGCACAGGGGGGCACGTGCTGTGTTCCCGGGGGGACAGAGCAGCCCCCACCCTCCCTGGGCCACTCTCTGTGTCCCACGGGTGACAAAGGGACCAGGGTGGGTGACAGGTGATGATTTCCCTCGGGTGCCCACAGCACCCCTGGTACAGATGCCAGCAGTGCCCCTGGGGACAGCACAGGGTGTGTGCCCGGGGCTTGGCCCCACACCAGAGCCCGTCCCCCGTGCCTGAGTCACCAGCTCCGGAGGAAACACTCCCTTCCTGCCCAAAAAACACCCCAGCCGGCTCCGCTCCACCGCCTGCCAAGGACATCGCAGCCCGGGTGGCACCGCAGCTGCCAGAGTCCCCAGGCATGGGGACGGTGCTGCTCAGCACAGGGACTCACAGGGCACCCGGCAGCCCGCAGCGCTGGCGGGGGGAGCCCATGGGGATGAGCACGGGGTGTCTAAGGCACTGCCACCCCGCCACGGTGCCAGGACATGGGACAGTGTCACTGGGAGCCAACAGTGCCCGTGGGTCATCGCAGGGACACCAGTGTGTTTGCTCGTCACTGCCAAACCGGGATCACGTCACCTCAGGGCCCAGAGCGTGGCACAGCCCTGAGGGGGGCAGCCGGGGGGACAAGGGTGGCACTAGGGTGGTACCAGTGACAGGGTGGGCAAGGGGTGGCACAGGGTGGGGAGGGGTTGGTGTGGAGGCTGGGGGAACACTGAGGTGATACCGGGTGATAGCAGGGACGGAGAGGCAATGAGTGGCCCTGCAACTGGGGTGGCACTGGGGTGGCACCAGGGCCAAGGAGGGCAGCGGGTGACACTGGGACGGAGGGGTTGGCACTGGGGACCAGAGTGCCACGAGGGTCAGGGTGGCAGCGGAGTGGCACCAGTGCCGGCGCGAGCAGGGAGTGTCACCAGCACCGGGGCGGCACTGAGGCGACACCAGCCCCTCCTGCGCCGCAGGGACCGTGCCGCGGAGGGGAGGGCGGGCAGGACGGGGACAGGCGGGTGGCACTTACTCTGCTGTATGGACTTGAGGGCGCGGAGGACGGTGGC